ATCTGTATGTAAGTCGGAACTGGTGTCCAGATTCAGCCGCTGTTGAAACTGATCAGTTTCAGCAGCAGCTGAATCTGGATGCCAGTTCCGACTTACATACAGATTCAACTTAAGAACAAACCTACATTCCCTATCTTGTACGTAACCCGGGGACTGCCTGTAGTTCGAATTAGGCTTTCTAATTCGAAATACCGTTACTCCTCGTTAGAAAGCCTAATTCGAACTACCTACTCCGTGCTGCGTGTAACCGTGGGCACGGAGTCCGAACTACCAGGGCTTTAAAAATGGTGGCGCCCGGCAAGATGCGAATGAATCCTGGGATATTTAAATCCCGGGCTTCATTTGCAACTTCGGTTGCCTACATTAACCACCCTAGTTCGAACTAGGGTGGTAGTGTAGACATACCCTATGATATTAAGGTGCTCAAGACATACTAACAGAAGTATGAGCATAACTCACCCACATCAAATTTATATATGGAGATATACCTATCTCATAGAACCGGAAGGGATCTTGAGAGGTCATCGAGTCCAGTCCCCTGCCCTCACAGCAGGACCAACTACCATCCCTGCAAGATTTGTGCCAGATCCCTAAATAGCCCCCTCAAGGATTGCGATCACAACCCTGGGTTTAAGCAGGCCAATGATCAAACCACTGAGCTATCCCCCTGGCTCCACGACATAACAAGCTAAACAGTTCAGTTTTAAACGGCTAGGACAGCCACTCTTGCATAACTATTTCAGAAACACCTCTTTATGCCAAACAACGATCATGGTGAATAAAAGCCAATGTATTCCCAAAATTATAAAAATCATATTATTTACCTTGGATTCACATTCCAAAAACAGTTTGGCCACAACACCAAACAATGCCACATCAAGTTTCCTAGGCTCAGTGTCATCTGGTAGAAGGAAGTACTCAATGTGGTAGTAACGCCGCATTTTTGAAATAGCTACATCTTTGCCAACATTAGACTTTTTCCTCTGCCTTTCACTTAAATTGGACGGCCTACGCTTTGGACCTAGGGAAAAAATACTTATATGGATTGAGAAAGTTTCAGATGTTGTCAAGCTCAGCACAGCAACAGATCCCACAGCAATGCAACTCCCCACCTATGACTTCATGCTACACAGATAGCTTCCATGAGAGAAAGAGCTCCTTGCTACATAAGATTGTGCTACCCATGTATACTCCTGCCACATGCAGATTCCTGCATTCCACATCAGAACCACACCAGCAAAGGTGCCCAAAGTGCCAAGGGGCTAGATTTGACTCTAATAACATTATTCCCAGATTAGTAATTGATTAAAATAAATAATGAAGGAAATAAAAGTTGTCAGTTAAAATTTCAAGACTTTAAAAAAAGAAAAGAATCCGCATAAAAATATGTGCTTGGCAAATAGATACAGTACTGTACAAGCCTTGTTATCTGGCACTCGACTACCCAAAAAACTCTGCTAACTGGCAATTCCCCATAAACGGCAATACAGTTCCCCATTCGGTTAACCAGAAAAATTCCATCTGGCACCATTTTTCAGCGCTTGTGGAAGTTGTATTTGCAAACTTGTGGCAGTAAAGGCTGTACTTGTCCTGCCTATGAGTGCAGTCCTGCCTTTTGTCCTAGTATATACACTACAACTTTTAACACTACAGTATTACTGTATCCAATACTGTAATTTACTGCTTTTTTACTGCCTTAAGGTCATCAGCAGCATCAATACCTTATGCTGTTGCTGTTGATGTTGATAGTGCTGGATCAGTGACACAAGCTGCAGATGCTTTTTGAAACATCTTGAGGATGTCTGCCTTCCTGAAAGTCAGTTGTCTTTTCTTCAGGAAATTGTTCTGGATAATATGCAGCTGCATGACTTCCTGAGCAGAATAAAAAGATTGCTGCTTAGCAAATTTCTCCAAAGTTTCCAAACACTGTGAAGCAGAAGCCCAAGAGACTTTGGTTTCTTCAGCATGGTCTTCTTCTTCTGAATCTGTCATCTGCAGTACAGGCAGTCCCCGGGTTACGTACAAGATAGGGACTATAGGTTTGTTCTTAAGTTGAATCTGTATGTAAGTCAGAACTGGCGTCCAGATTCAGCCACTGTTGAAACTGATCAGTTTCAGCTGCAGCTGAATCTGGACGCCAGTTCCAACTTACATACAGATTCAACTTAAGAACAAACCTATAGTCCCTATCTTGTACGTAACCCGGGGACTGCCTGTACTGCAGATGACAGATTCAGAAGAAGAAGACCATGCTGAAGAAACCAAAGTCTCTTGGGCTTCTGCTTCACAGTGTTTGGAAACTTTGGAGAAATTTGCTAAGCAGCAATCTTTTTATTCTGCTCAGGAAGTCATGCAGCTGCATATTATCCAGAACAATTTCCTGAAGAAAAGACAACTGACTTTCAGGAAGGCAGACATCCTCAAGATGTTTCAAAAAGCATCTGCAGCTTGTGTCACTGATCCAGCACTATCAACATCAACAGCAACAGCATAAGGTATTGATGCTGCTGATGACCTTAAGGCAGTAAAAAAGCAGTAAATTACAGTATTGGATACAGTAATACTGTAGTGTTAAAAGTTGTAGTGTATATACTGTAGTAATAAAGTTAAAAGTTGTAGGGCAAAGTTGTATGGCAAAGTTATTTCATTCATTTTTGCATTCAATTAAAACATTCAGTAGTGTTAAAAATTGTAGGCGAGGTCTACACTGGCATCCTTTTCAGGAAATGCTTAAAACGGAACAGTTTTCCGTTATAAGTATTTCCGGAAAAAGCGTGTCTACATTGGCAGGATACTTTTCCGGAAAAGCACTTTTTCCGGAAAAGCATCCGTGCCAATGTAGACGTGCTTTTCCGCAAAAAAGCCCTGATCGTCATTTTCGCAATCGGGGCTTTTTTGCCGAAAAGAAATCTGTGCTTTCTACGCTGGCCCTTTTCCGGAACAGTTTTCCGGAAAAGGACTTTTGCCAGAATGGGAACAGCATAGTTTTTCTGGAAAAGCACTGATGATTTTACAGTAGATCGTCAGTGCTTTTCCGGAAATTCAAGGGGCCAGTGTAGACAGCTGGCAAGTTATTCCGGAAAAGCGGCTGATTTTCCAGAATAAGTGGCCAGTGTAGACACAGCCATAGTGTATATAATAATAGGGCAGCTATTAGTGTTAAGTATGGTTATTTTATTTCTTAAACATTTTTGCATTAAAAAAAGCTTGATTAAGTGGCACATTTACTTAACCAGCAACACCCATTCCCCATGCACACTGGATAACAAAGCTTGTGTTCTAGTTCCTGGTGAAAGAGTTTTATTAGGTTTAACACTAATCCTGTTTATTCTAAGGAGCAAACACCCCAAATTTCCAATGAACACAATATCACAACTAACAGAACCAAAGACATAATAAACAAATGTTTGCCACAAGCCTTCCACAGGACATTGCTGAGCTGTGTTCTAATTAGGGCTGTTGATTAATTGCAATTAGTTAAAGTAATTAACGCAAACAAATTAAATCAATTTTAAAAACTGATTATGCTTCATGACAGTTTTAATCACACTGTTAAATAATAGAATACCAACTTGAAATAATTTTAAATATTTTGAACCTTTTTCTACATCTTCAAATGTATTGATTTCAATTACACCAAAGTGCTCACTTTATACTATTATTTTTATTACAAACATTTACACTGTAAATAAGATACAAAAATATTTTTCAGTACACCTTACACACATAGTTCAGTGCAATCTCTTTATTGTGAAAGTGCAACTTACAAATGTATGAGTTTCTTGTTACTGTATATATAACTACTCAAAATCAAAACAACATAAAACTTTAGAGGCAACAAGTCTACTCAGTCCTACTACTTCTTAAGCTAATTGCTAACACAAACAAGTTTGTTTATATTTGTGGGCACAAGTTGTGAGTTATATGAGACCATGGTTTTCAGGCCTCAGGAATATTCCTAGCCCTTAGAGTCTGGCTCCAACACAGTTTGAGGATGAGTTGCTTCCTTGATCCCACCTGCTGCCCCTGCATGTTCCCCTGGCATTTTTCCCCAGCCTGCCTGCTTCCCCTGGGCAATTTAAAACAATCCAGGGGCCCCTGTCACCAGCAGTGCAGAGGGACTAGAGAAGCTACCTGCTGTTAACTCCACGCAGCTGCCTGCACATGTGCCCCTAGGGCCCTGGGTGAGGGGTAGTGGTTTCTGTGCGCTTCTCCTGCTACGGAGTCCTGGGATCAGTCCATAGAAACCCCTGTCCCCCTGGGGCCACAGGGACTTCATGGCCAGCATCTGTGTGAAGCTGACAGCAGGAAGCTGCTCTAACCCTGCTGTGCTGCTGCTAGTGGCAGCGGGGGCTTCCGGGACATTTTAAATTGCCCGGGGGTAACAGGCAGGGCTGGGGGAAGCATAGGCGGGTGCATGGGGATGGCAGGTAGGGGAAGCACATGGAGACCTCTGCCCCCCAGGAGCTGCTGGCGTAAGGGTAAGCGTGACATCTGTACATTTATACTATGATAGCATGTGCATTAAATATTTATATCTAAGATAGAGGCAGTATATACCCCACTGCAGTGGAGTGGCTGCTGCACTATGGCAAAGATGGGGTTAAGAGCAGGCTAGAAGGAGCTTATGCAAATTCTCTCCAATCAGAGGGAGACTTATAGGGAGCCAATCAGAAGGCAGCTTGCTGGGGTAGCTCTGTTATATAGAGCTGCTCAGCAGAACAATGGGCAATTGGTTCCTAACCAGTGAATGGGAAGGACTAGTTCCCTGGAAGAAGCATCTTAGGTGAAGCAGTGCTGGGCAGGCTCAGAGAAGCTGGAGAGAAGCTCCAGTCTGATACCTGCCAGGCTGTAGTCCTTGATACAAGAGCCAAGAAGAATGAAGAGTCACTGGAAAGTGGCCCAGGGAACAGGGGGCAATCCAGGGGGAAGGAATGAAGAAGATAGCTACTGCCATAGGGTCCCTGGGCTGCAACCCAGAGTAGTGGGTGGGCGTAGGTCCATCCTGGCCACAATGGAGTATAGCCTATACAGACTGCAGTTTGTCCCTGGAGCAAGGGGCTAGACTTTGGAGCTGCAGTTGGTCATGGTGACAAATGCAGAGACCGAGGACTGCTGATAATTCTGGAAGGGGGCAAGAACGGAATAGTGGCAAGGATGTTGCAGACCCGCGTTGCTGCTTGGACTGCAGAGAGAGAGGCACTGGAGACAGTGGAGCACAGCAACAAAGGATGAGACACTGACTAGAAATTGGCATACTCAATGGTCAGAGATAATTCCCAGAATAAACAGTAGGAGGCACCAAGGCAGTGAGTAGACCCTGTCACGCCCACCTTTCCCCTTAAGTTACGATGAGGTTCAATGGGACAACTCACAGTTCATAAGAAAACCACATGGATAAAATCTTGCAGCACTGGGAATGCTTGAAAAAGTGCATCACAGGAAAATAAATGTATAGACAGAAGAGGTACAGCACAGCAGCTGCCCAAGTTACTATATCAAATGAGCCTTAACCCCAAGGAGACCATATTTAGAACTAAAGGAAAGAAGGGAAGAAATTTAACCTTCATACCCACTCACTTTTTGGCCATGCTAGTCATATATATAGTAGTCCAATGTCTGTGACTCTGTAACGCTGTAGTGTTACGAGTCACCGTCCCGCCCCCCCTTTGCCTCCCGCCATGGCACTCGGCTGAGTTCTGCGCCGCTCAGCCAGGCCGCCGGAGGAGGAGGAGAGAGAGAGAGAGACGGACATGGAGGAGAGACCCAAAAAATCTCGTTCTATGACGGGCTATTGGCTAGTTATATTATAAACATGGACAATCAATTACAATGACTGGTTTTGCCATGACTGACTAACACCATCAACTTGAATGACACTAGCTCCTGAAGAATTATCAAGCGGTAAAGGTTTTCAGCCACTGTGACCTAAGTTGAAACAGAATCTAATGGTAAAAAGCAGGATCCCTCCCCATCCCCATTACCTTGAGCATCTTCTATGTATTCTATATATTTTAGAAATGTGTGTCTGTTGGTCTGTCTGTGAGTCTGTTCAAGAACTCCTCCTAACTGATAAAAGCTAAATTTGGTATGTAGCTTCCTCTTATCCTAACAAAGCAAGGTCAGGGTTTGGTTGTGCCAGGACAATAGGATGTGCCTGGAATTTGATTGTTTCTCATAAAAACCTTGTCAGGGCACTGCCCGCCAGCAGTGCCCACTATTCCGTGTCTGTTGGTCTGTCTGTGAGTCTGTTCAAGAACTCCTCCTAACTGATAAAAGCTAAATTTGGTATGTAGCTTCCTCTTATCCTAACAAAGCAAGGTCAGGGTTTGGTTGTGCCAGGACAATAGGATGTGCCTGGAATTTGATTGTTTCTCATAAAAACCTTGTCAGGGCACTGCCCGCCAGCAGTGCCCACTATTCCTGTTGGGGGGGGGGGGGGGGTACAAATGCCTCAGCAAGAAGCTGCTGGCTGACAGCACCCTTCACCCTGGCCTGCTCCAGGGAGCAGCTGCTGGTCACTGTATGGTCTCCTCCCACTCACCACTGGGTTCGATGCATACCCCTCCCCCACACACTTATCCCCACGCCACATCCAGGGACCACCAGCACTCGGCCTGCATGGTCCCCTCCTTCTCCAAGAGCACTGGTGCTCAGCCTGCATAGGCCCTCCTCCCCCACCCCGGGCCTGGGGAATGCCAGCAGTAGGCCGTCCCCGGGATGAAGCCAGTAGCCAGGGTGCACATGCGTGTGCACACACACACACACACACATTCACTCTTGGGTTGACCCTGGGAGAAGCCAGCAGCCAAGATGTACAGACCCACCCCCTCCCTGGGCCAGGCCCGGACAATGCCGGGTAAGTCTTCTAGTCCTATACAATTAGCAGTGTCAACAGGACTGCACAGTAGTATCACAAGGGCAGGGAGACCCATCCACATCTACAGCTAAAGGGATAAAAATGAGCCAACATCCTTTCTGCAGTTTGCTTCCCAAGCCCTTTAGATATCTGGATCTTAGGATGAGCCGCAGGGGTTAAAGAGAGAGGTCAAGTCTAGTACCTACCTGCACCCATTGGCACAGCTAGTGAAATTGAGAATGTACAGGTCACTGTGTGTGAGGAGTCAAGATGCTGCAGTCTCTTCTCAAAGGACAAGGACCTGCTACCTTCATCTTCCGGGGTGGGATGGCCACCATCCCCAAGTCCATTTGGTGTTTCAGTTTCAAAGCTGCTGTCTGAGCCACTGGCCTCCAACTCCCCTTCCACCACCATCTTTGTCTTTGAATCCCAGGCAAGAGATGCTGTCAGCTCTTCAGAGCTGTGCTCCTTTTACTTTTGCAAGGCTGTCTGTAGGTGCAGTCACCAGCGCCTTGGTTCTCTCGCTGCAAAGAAAGGGGCAAATCCTTATTCAACTGTCCTTATATATGTGGAGTGTGCAGTCCCCTCTGCCAGTGCAAATGTAGATGTGGGAAACAGGAAACTAGGGGAGGCAGAAACCCTTTGACTTCTCTCCCCGGAATGCTTTTAATCCCACGCATATAATGTGCAGGGGTGAATTCATGGGGGCCGGGAGAAGCCACACAAAGGTCCCTAAGCAGCAGACCAAGGCAAAGAGCAAGTCAATACATATCTGGCAAATAATAATGCAAAGTATCGACAAATAGAAATGCTAAACCTGTTCTGCCCGTGGCCACGAAGCTCCTGAATGTTTAAAGGGAATGGAGGATTGTTAGCGGGGGAGGGGGAGCCATCGACACCCATCGCCCAGGGCCCCGTCGCCCCATCGACACCCATCGCCCAGGGCCCCGTCGCCCCATCGACACCCATCGCCCAGGGCCCCGTCGCCCCATCGACACCCATCGCCCAGGGCCCCGTCGCCCCATCGACACCCATCGCCCAGGGCCCCGTCGCCCCATCGACACCCATCGCCCAGGGCCCCGTCGCCCCATCGACACCCATCGCCCAGGGCCCCGTCGCCCCATCGACACCCATCGCCCAGGGCCCCGTCGCCCCATCGACACCCATCGCCCAGGGCCCCGTCGCCCCATCGACACCCATCGCCCAGGGCCCCGTCGCCCCATCGACACCCATCGCCCAGGGCCCCGTCGCCCCATCGACACCCATCGCCCAGGGCCCCGTCGCCCCATCGACACCCATCGCCCAGGGCCCCGTCGCCCCATCGACACCCATCGCCCAGGGCCCCGTCGCCCCATCGACACCCATCGCCCAGGGCCCCGTCGCCCCATCGACACCCATCGCCCAGGGCCCCGTCGCCCCATCGACACCCATCGCCCAGGGCCCCGTCGCCCCATCGACACCCATCGCCCAGGGCCCCGTCGCCCCATCGACACCCATCGCCCAGGGCCCCGTCGCCCCATCGACACCCATCGCCCAGGGCCCCGTCGCCCCATCGACACCCATCGCCCAGGGCCCCGTCGCCCCATCGACACCCATCGCCCAGGGCCCCGTCGCCCCATCGACACCCATCGCCCAGGGCCCCGTCGCCCCATCGACACCCATCGCCCAGGGCCCCGTCGCCCCATCGACACCCATCGCCCAGGGCCCCGTCGCCCCATCGACACCCATCGCCCAGGGCCCCGTCGCCCCATCGACACCCATCGCCCAGGGCCCCGTCGCCCCATCGACACCCATCGCCCAGGGCCCCGTCGCCCCATCGACACCCATCGCCCAGGGCCCCGTCGCCCCATCGACACCCATCGCCCAGGGCCCCGTCGCCCCATCGACACCCATCGCCCAGGGCCCCGTCGCCCCATCGACACCCATCGCCCAGGGCCCCGTCGCCCCATCGACACCCATCGCCCAGGGCCCCGTCGCCCCATCGACACCCATCGCCCAGGGCCCCGTCGCCCCATCGACACCCATCGCCCAGGGCCCCGTCGCCCCATCGACACCCATCGCCCAGGGCCCCGTCGCCCCATCGACACCCATCGCCCAGGGCCCCGTCGCCCCATCGACACCCATCGCCCAGGGCCCCGTCGCCCCATCGACACCCATCGCCCAGGGCCCCGTCGCCCCATCGACACCCATCGCCCAGGGCCCCGTCGCCCCATCGACACCCGTCGCCCCATCGACACCCATCGCCCAGGGCCCCGTCGCCCCATCGACACCCATCGCCCAGGGCCCCGTCGCCCCATCGACCCCCAATTCCTACGGCCCTATTGGCCCATCGACACCCAATGCCTACGGCCCTATTGGCCCATCGACACCCAATGCCTACGGCCCTATTGGCCCATCGACACCCAATGCCTACGGCCCTATTGGCCCATCGACACCCAATGCCTACGGCCCTATTGGCCCATCGACACCCAATGCCTACGGCCCTATTGGCCCATCGACACCCAATGCCTACGGCCCTATTGGCCCATCGACACCCAATGCCTACGGCCCTATTGGCCCATCGACACCCAATGCCTACGGCCCTATTGGCCCATCGACACCCAATGCCTACGGCCCTATTGGCCCATCGACACCCAATGCCTACGGCCCTATTGGCCCATCGACACCCAATGCCTACGGCCCTATTGGCCCATCGACACCCAATGCCTACGGCCCTATTGGCCCATCGACACCCAATGCCTACGGCCCTATTGGCCCATCGACACCCAATGCCTACGGCCCTATTGGCCCATCGACACCCAATGCCTACGGCCCTATTGGCCCATCGACACCCAATGCCTACGGCCCTATTGGCCCATCGACACCCAATGCCTACGGCCCTATTGGCCCATCGACACCCAATGCCTACGGCCCTATTGGCCCATCGACACCCAATGCCTACGGCCCTATTGGCCCATCGACACCCAATGCCTACGGCCCTATTGGCCCATCGACACCCAATGCCTACGGCCCTATTGGCCCATCGACACCCAATGCCTACGGCCCTATTGGCCCATCGACACCCAATGCCTACGGCCCTATTGGCCCATCGACACCCAATGCCTACGGCCCTATTGGCCCATCGACACCCAATGCCTACGGCCCTATTGGCCCATCGACACCCAATGCCTACGGCCCTATTGGCCCATCGACACCCAATGCCTACGGCCCTATTGGCCCATCGACACCCAATGCCTACGGCCCTATTGGCCCATCGACACCCAATGCCTACGGCCCTATTGGCCCATCGACACCCAATGCCTACGGCCCTATTGGCCCATCGACACCCAATGCCTACGGCCCTATTGGCCCATCGACACCCAATGCCTACGGCCCTATTGGCCCATCGACACCCAATGCCTACGGCCCTATTGGCCCATCGACACCCAATGCCTACGGCCCTATTGGCCCATCGACACCCAATGCCTACGGCCCTATTGGCCCATCGACACCCAATGCCTACGGCCCTATTGGCCCATCGACACCCAATGCCTACGGCCCTATTGGCCCATCGACACCCAATGCCTACGGCCCTATTGGCCCATCGACACCCAATGCCTACGGCCCTATTGGCCCATCGACACCCAATGCCTACGGCCCTATTGGCCCATCGACACCCAATGCCTACGGCCCTATTGGCCCATCGACACCCAATGCCTACGGCCCTATTGGCCCATCGACACCCAATGCCTACGGCCCTATTGGCCCATCGACACCCAATGCCTACGGCCCTATTGGCCCATCGACACCCAATGCCTACGGCCCTATTGGCCCATCGACACCCAATGCCTACGGCCCTATTGGCCCATCGACACCCAATGCCTACGGCCCTATTGGCCCATCGACACCCAATGCCTACGGCCCTATTGGCCCATCGACACCCAATGCCTACGGCCCTATTGGCCCATCGACACCCAATGCCTACGGCCCTATTGGCCCATCGACGCCCAACGCCCCATCGACACCCATCGCCCATTGACACCCATCGCCCAGGGCCCTATCGGCCCAACGCCCCATCGACACCCAACGCCCCATCGACGCCCATTGACACCCATTGCCCCATCAACGTCCATCACCCACGGCGCTATTGGCCCGTCGACACCCATCGCCCACGGCCCTATCGGCCCATCGACACCCACAGCCCTATCGGCCCATCGATACCCATCACCCATGGCCCTATTGGCCCGTTGACACCCAACGCCTACGGCCCTATTGGCCCATCGACACCCATCGTCCACGGCCCTATTGGCCCATCGACACCCATCGTCCACGGCCCTATTGGCCCATCGACACCCATCATCCACGGCCCTATTGGCCCATCGACACCCATCATCCACGGCCCTATTGGCCCATCGACACCCATCATCCACGGCCCTATTGGCCCATCGACACCCATCATCCACGGCCCTATTGGCCCATCGACACCCAACGCCTACGGCCCTATCGGCCCGACAGCCAACTCCTTAGGCCCAATCAGCCCATCAACACCCAAAGCCTACAGCCCTATCGGCCTGCCTGAGAGTCTCCTGCCCTGTATAGAATTAGCACCCGTCTTAGATTCTGAGGCATAACAAAAAATTACAGATGCTGGGAGTAGGGCTCTAGATTGGAGTGATTGGGAGGTAGCTGGTGAGAAATAGACTCACTTCAGCAGTGGTTAGCTGTGCCTGAAAGAACGACTACCACTGCTTAAGTAAGTCACTGCTCAGACCAGGGAACGAGATGCTGGTTCATGCAAAGCAGACATGTCTAGTTATTAATCTGTAGAGAGGCAAGGCAGATGAAACTTGCTCTCTTCTGAGCTCCTCTTCAGGTCTAGTATTTTGTAGGCTAATTATTTTTAAATGGGCATGCATGTACCATATTTTCCGGCGTATAAGGCGACTGGGCGTATAAGACGACCCCCTAATTTTTTAGTTAAAAGATAGGGTTTCGTCTTATACCCCAGCGCCCCTCCGCCTCCTTTGCTCCCGGTGTCCCTGGTCTGCTGGAGATGGTCCCCAGCAGACCAGAGGCACCGGGAGCAAAGCTTCCACAAAAGCGCATCTAGATTGGCAAGGATGCTTTTGCGCAAAAAGTGCTTTTGCGCAAAGCATCCATGGCCAGTCTAGATGCGATTTTGGGCAAGAAAGCGCCGCTCGCCATTTTAGCCATTGGGGCTTTTTTTGCGCAAAACAATTCTTCCCTGTCTACACTGGCCCTCTTGAGTAAGTATTCTTGTGCAAGAGGGCTTTTTCCCGAGCAGGAGCAGGAAAGTATTTGCGCAAGAAGCACTGATTTCGTACATTACAAATTCAAGCGGCCAGTGTAGACAGCTGGCAAGTTTTTGCGTAAAATCTTGCCAGTCTAGATGCACTCCAGGTGTTGCAGTAAAATGTATGCTGACATGTTTATAATCTGGCAAAGATTTTGTCAGTCTTTAAATCAATTATCTCCACTTTGGAATTTTTTACAAAATAAACTAGCTAGACCAAACCAAGCATAA